CTTAGGGCCAAACATTAAGAGTTCATGAGCTATTCATTTTTTGTAACTCGACATACAACTTTTCGTTGTACTCCGCTTCTCCTAGTGTACTTCTCCATCTTTCTTTCATTACCTTACCAAGTCTTTGTGAAATAAATCTGATGAGATAAATTTCAGATATATTCATTTGGTTTTAGGGAGCTTCCACAAATGTCTTGTATGGTCTTGAATGAATTCAACCATAAATTGAGAGGAAAACCCGATAACATGTCGAGTTCTGAGTTTTTTATAATGACATGCAATTAACAGTGACCACCAATCTAGAAAAAGTTCTTGACACTTTCAATATCATTTCAGACATTTTTTTTTTGTTTTAGTTCTAGATTGAAGCTCAAGTGGGAATTACATGTTCATATTTGTCTCCTAGTAGGACAGGCCTTTGGCCATAGGATTTGGGATTCTGATTTCAAATTTTGATTCGAAATCAACATTTTTTTAATGAAATCTGCACAAATTTCAACTTCAGTGTCAAATCCTGAAGTCTCCAAAAAGTAGAATTAAATTTTAGGTTGAGATTTCAATTTTTTTAATGTAAAAGTTGATTGTAAAGTTTATATTTTGTAAAAAGGCACCATCGCTTTAAATTTTGCAAAAAGAAAAACTCATGTTCGATGTGAAGAGGTTATCCGTTCCAAGTTACTACTATGGTTGACTAGTGGATCTTTGTAATATTATGTGTATTTAAAGTTTTAATAACATGTAATCGCAAGCATTTATTTATAAAAGGAACATGAAGATATTCCTATACCTTATTTATGAACTATTATATGCTCCTTTGATAAGATTGTATAAGAGTTGGGGAAGTTATAGAGACAGTTTGGATTGACTTATTTTAGGTGCTTTTAAGGCAAAATAGCTTTTAAGCACTTTTGTAGTATTTGGCTAGAATAAAGAACTGGTTTTAAGCACTTGAGTAAAAAATAAGCCAAAAGCTATAATCCCATCCAAAAAACTCTTAATATCTTCAAAATTGTAGGTCTTTTATGTTTATGGGGAAAAATACAACTTAAGAAATCCAAATTTGCATGACCAAATAAAATTTCAACTTCAAATTAACATGATTTCAAATCACTGATAGTTGAAATCAAATCATGTCCAAATGGGCTTTTAGTTCTTGTTGGAACTTCCCAGTTGAGTTCATCTTTGGATCACTGTCAATCAGGGATTTAAGATTCGATATAGCATCAGCTTAAATAATTGTTACTCTCCTTCGGCTAATATTTTCCACCAATAAATCTATGTTGGTCAAACTTTGTACTTAACAAAATGTTTGCTTCAACTTTACCCATTTTCCCGCTGATGCTATCTTTTCGTAACTCTTATTCACCTGGTTGAAGGGCGGGGCCTTACCTTTGCTGGACTCATTCTCTATTAATTCCAATATCTTGTTAGCAATGTACGGCCAACCTGCATCTTGGCTGTGTTCAGGTGTAATCAGTGACATCTCCCCCTGGCCACACCAATTATATTCTAATGAACTTTGCCTATCAAAAAACATAAAAAAGTAACTTCTTAAAAATATAATGTCCGAAAACATAAAGAAATTGAAAGTTTAGATACTGCAAAAGTATATTTTTATTCATAGAGTTTGTACAGTATTTATAGGAGAACAAGTAAGATCAAATAAACTAATCAATCCCTAATTCCTGGGAGATCCTTGAATCAAGAGATTTCCTCTAAACTACTTTCCTATAATAATATATTCTATCCATATTACAGCAACAGATTATAATCAAATCTGCCAGCTTATTTGTAGCAAATTACAATCAAATATGGTCCATGTCTCTCAACTATTTAGAAGTGAAATGGACTATGCCCGAACATACAACTGATTTACTTAGTTGTTGGATCAGGAGAGGAGGTAGCAAGAGACAGAAGACCTGGTGGAATCTGATTCCACATTGCATTTGGTGGACAGTGTGGAAGGAGAGGAATAGTAGGAATTTTGAAGATATATCCAATTCCATTCACAAGGTTAAATGGAATTGCATTGTATCTCTATATTTTTGGTGTAAAGAGATAGGATTAGAGGATTCAGATCAACTTTTAGAACTCTTAGGATCCTTGTAAGTATTATGCTTTTTTTTCTTTTCTGAGTTTTTAAAGGCCCCCAGCATATCCTTAATGCTGAAGAATACAATGTTTACCAATTCTCAAAAGAAATCTGCCAGCTTATTGATGGGGCAGATTGTGACTAAATCTGCCAACTCATTCGACACTCCCCCTCAAGTTTGGCATGTAGATATCGAACATGCCTAACTTGCTCACAAAGGACTCAAAAGTAATTTTGAAAAGACCTTTTTGTGAAAATATCTGCAACTTGTTCAGTTGTTGGAACAAAAGGATGCACACACTTCCATCTTCAATCTTCTCTTTAATGAAGTGTCTGTCCACTTCAACATGCTTTGTTCTATCATGTTGAACTGGATTATGAGCAATGCTTATGGCAGCCTTATTGTCACAATACAACTTCATTGGAAAACTCGCAGGTCTTCTTAGTTCTTCCAAAAATCTCTTGAGCCACAACATTTCACAAATTCCGTGTGCCATGGATCGATACTCAGCCTCAACACTACTTCGAGCCACCACATTTTGCTTCTTACTTCTCCATGTCACTAAATTTCCCCAAACAAATGTACAATATCCAGATGTAGGCCTTCTATCAATAGATGAACCAGCCCAGTCCGCATCTGTATAAGCCTCAACACTTCTTTGCTCATTCTTTTTGAAGAACAACCCTTTCCCAGGAGAACTCTTTAGATACCTTAGGATTCGATACACAGCTTCTTGGTGTTCTTCTCGTGGAGAATGCATGAACTGACTGACTAGGCTCACAACAAAGGAAATATCAGGTCTAGTATGTGACAAGTAAATCAACTTGCCTACCAATCTCTGATATTGGCCCTTATCAATTAATTTTCCTTCCTTTACAAACTTCAGATTTGGATCTATTGGAGTTTCAGTTGGTCTACAACCACTCATTCCTGTTTCTTTAATAGATCAAGAACATACTTCCTTTGTGACACTATAATTCCTTTCTTCGATCGTGCAACCTCCATGCCAAGAAAGTACTTTAGCGGGCCTAAGTCTTTTATCTCAAATTCTGAGGCAAGAAGCTCCTTTAGATTTTTTATTTCAACCACATCATCTCCTGTGAGGATAATATCGTCAACATACACTATAAGAACGGTTGTTTTTCCTTCCCGTGAATGTCGAGTAACATTGTGTGATCTGCTTGTCCCTGCACATACCCTTGCTTTTTCACAAATTGAGACCTTTCAAACCAAGCCCTTGGAGATTGTTTTAGACCGTAAAGAGATCTCCTAAGCCTGCATTTCTTTGACTTATACTTCCCTTCAAAACCTGGTGGGGGATCCATATAGACTTCTTCCTCTAGGTGCCCATTCAAGAAAGCATTCTTCACATCCAACTGTTGAAGTGACCAGTCAAGATTTACTGTGATTGTCAGCAAAACTCTAATTGAGTTTAGCTTAGCTACTGGAGCAAACCTCTCGAGATAGTCAATGCCATATGTCTGTGTGAATCCCTTCGCAACTAAGCGGGCCTTGTACCTTTCCAAGGATCCGTCTGATTTGAATTTTGTGGTGAACACCCATTTACAGCCCACTGGTTTCTTTTCCTCTGGTAAATCCACTGACTCCCATGTCTCATTTTTTTCAAGAGCTCGCAATTCCTCCAAAATAGCCTCCTTCCACTCGGGAACTCGTAGAGCATCCTGCACATTTTTTGGAATCTCCACACTAGAAAGTTGTGAAGTAAAGGCTGAATAACTAGGAAACAACTTTTTATAGGACACAAACATAGAAATAGAATATTTAGAAACATTTCTGACACCTTTGCGTTTCACAATAGGTAGGTCCAGATTTGAGGAGTTAGAAATAGAATCAGTTGGAAGATTACCTTGAATTCCAGTAAGGTCTTGTGGAACTGACTTTTGGTAGTGATGAGAATCTTCGATCTTTTTTCCTTGAGTTTGGTTCCTTCTTGAATACACCTGTATTTCTTTTGTTTGTTCTCTATTCCCATTTTTATTTTTGTCATTTGAAGGCTCTACAGGTTCAATTTCTGAGTTTTTATCATTCAAGTCACTTTGGTCCCTATCATCTCTTAGATCAGAACTATTTATATCTTCTCCTCAGTGTTTTGGGAAGTGAGAAGGGGAAAAAAGCGACGAGGGCTCACTTCACAGAAGCGAGAAGCGAAGCGCGCGCTTTTTTTAAGTAAAGCGATATTTAGTATAAAAAAATAATATTAAATAATTGAATAGAGGTAATATATTCTTAGATTAAAAGTAAATAGATAGTCAATAATACTCATAAGTCATAACATATAAAGCAAAAAATCAAAAACATAATTAAATCACAGTAGCAGATCAGTCGCAGCAGCCTCGCAGAGAAGAAGAGAAGAAGAAGGAGAAGAAGAAGAAGAAGAAGAAGAAGAAGAAGAAGAGCAGTGGCAGCAACCAAAAATAGAAAAAAAAAGTCGCAGAGCAGTCGCAAAGAAGAAGAGAAGAAGAGAAGAAGAAGAGA